AATCTTTGTCATTAGCTAAATGACAAATCAATTAACTCCACTAAGTAATCAATCAATGAAATTTTATTCTTCACAATCTCATCATGGCCGAATGAATGATATGAGAAGGATTTTCAAAATTCTTCTCCACTTAAATGTTCAAAGTGTATTTTATTTGACACCAAAAATTAATATAAAATTAATTTTAAATCAAATAAAATACCAATATCATTTTTAAAAAAGTATATAAAAAATATACTTTAAATAGTTTATGTCATAATAATTATTTTCATAATTAAAATGACAAACCAAAATAAAATATTCAATATATAATATATATACATTAATCGGTACATATAATATATATAACCGAATATTTATAGATATAATATTATATTCCAAAATATTTTATTTTACTATTTTTACAAATATACTAATTACTTATTATCCCATTGTTTAATCTTACTCCTTAAATTGTCCAAAGTGTGTGACCCGTATAGGCACTTATAAAGCTGGCCACAGTATTGGCTCTACACCAATACTATAAGCAATAAGCGGTATCTAGCAACACATTATTGCCCCCAGATTATAAGTTAAGACGTTTGCACCGTCAAAACCTTTCCACGACTCAGACTCTGTGTAACTGTATCCTTTTGTCTCAATGTCTAAACTTAATGCAAGGGATTAATAAAATCCAACTTGTATCCATTAAGTCATTCACTGATTTATCAAGTCTGACTATTAGGAACAGACGTCATAAAAGCATCTCAGCATGGCCATGCAATTTCCTTAGTCATAACTTATCAGTGGGCCCCATAAGACATTAATCTCTTTAAAAAGAGTAGTGACAAATCCTATGTACGTAATCTACGTTTTTGAATACGCGCTGTGGCATACCCAAAACAAAGCCTGTATACCATCCTTATTTCATATGGCTTAGGACAATGCTTGAAAGCATGCGGGTTCACATATGCAGAAAACGTAATACTTCAAGTCGAAGGATAGTTACACACGTGGTCGCGCTAAAGATGCTTAAAGCATGAACTAAAAGTTCAAGCAACATCTTTAGGATGGGTCAGTCCGGCATCCTATTATCTCCAGATAATATCTACCCATGTGCGGATGCGAACACACTGTCATTGACTATGAGACTAAGTCAAACATCCAACACACACTAGTCTCACATGCATTAACGATATCCCACTCTCGTTAATACTCGACTATGGACATTTAGATAAATATTTATTTCAAGATGTTATTCTCATCAGCAGAATAATACTATCTGATAAACATCTTTTAAATATAAATCTAGGAATATAATATTTGTTTACATTAGCATGAGATGTGTAAACATATTATATCTGCCTATACATGATAGAATAATGATAAACAGTTGGCCATCAGGGCACAACTCCAACATATACATACCATATTTGAAGTTTCTTTATTATTTTTACATGTTATTGACTCGAATGTAATGTAATATTGATGTATACTATTCTCAACCAAATGACATACATTGAGTTAATACTTTTGTCTCCGCTAGAGTTTGAAACTGCATGAATTTCCTCAAGTCTCATCAAATTTTAACCATGATTTTTTCATTTTTCAATATTTTTTAAAGCTCCGTAGACGTGATACAATTTGATAATAATTAGTCTTATTGAATATAAGAGTACCTTCCTATATATAGGGACTACAAGAGGATGTTCTAACCATAGTAGAAGAAGAACTATGGTAACAATAGAATAAGGAAAGAATAATAAAGGAAGGTAAGTAAATATAATATCTATTTATTATTATCCCCCTGCAAGTTGATCAACAGAGACGGAGACAGCTTGGAACACATGTTCTCAAACAGAGTGGGCGGAAGCGATTTCATCAATATATTTGGGAGTTGCTTAGAAGACGGAACATGATGAGTGGTTATTGTACCAACTATATTTTCATCTTGCACAAAGTGACAGTGAGAACCAACATGCTTCATACGATCATGTAGAACAAGATTTTTTTGTGGCACGGATGGTAGATTCATTGTCACAGTAAATTGTTGGTTTTGGTGGAGGAATGCCAAGTGCATCTGTAATGTAGCAAAGCCACATCGCCTCCACAACCCCCACTGCAATGGTGCGATATTTGGCTTTTGTGGACGAACAAGATAAATGAGTCTGTTTCTTCGTGTACGAATAGATAAGATTTGTTTGAAGTGTAATAAGCTAACCAGTAGTAGAACAATGATCATCTTTGTCGTTAGCCAGTCTAAATCAGAGTAAACAGCCACATCCATGGGGCCTTTCTAAAAAAGAAGACCATGATGCAAGATACCTTTAAGGTATCAAAGAATGCGTTTGAAGGCAAAGTCATCCTTTTCAGTAGGAGAATGCATGGTTTGAGACAACCGATTCACATCATACAGAATGTATGGAGCCAGATTGTGTAGGCCACCAACAATGCTATGAAAACGTTTAGGATCAGAGAAGAGAGGAGACGACGGTTCTGGAGAGGACTGTGCAACCATGGGCGTGATGGAAGGTCTGCAATCAAACATACCATCCTTGTTAAGAAGTTCAAAAGTGTACTTCTGATGCAAAATGGTGTCCTTTGTGCGTCTTACCTCAATGCCAAGGAAGAAATTCAGTGGGCCCAAGTCCTTCTGGAAAAAATAATGATGCATAGCTTGAGTTACCGTAGAGATAAGAGAAGTGGAACTCCCTGTAATGATGATGTCATCAATGTACAGTAGAAAAATCACAGTCCCAAGAGAACAGCGTAGAGTAAATAGACTGCTATCATGTCTACAACAGTGAAAACCAATCCTCTTCAAAAAAAAGCAAAACAGGTGTACCATGCAGGAGGAGCCTTTTTAAGACTATAGAGTTCTATGCGCAACTTGCACACATTGTGCGGTTGATTGGGATTCACATAACCTGGTGGTTGTTCCATGTAAATTATCTTCATCCATTGAACCATGAAAAAAAGCATTTCTCACATCTAACTTATGTGGAGGCCGGTCCTGATGAAGTGCTAGAGAAAGAACCAAACAAATACTCTGTTGCTTGACAATGGGCCTGAATGTCTCCTTATGATCAATGCCATATTTTTGATGATACCCTTTGGCCACTACACGAGCCTTATACCAAGAAACCGAGCCATCAGGATTCCTCTTTATGTGATACACTCACTTACACCCAACTGGAAATCGATCCTTGGGAGGAGGAACTAAATCTCATGTACGTTGTTCATTTAGATCTGCATACTCCTCATCCATATCCTAGCACAAATTTATTATTGGAGGCTTGGTGAAATATGGTGGGTTCAGTGGTGGGGGTCTGATGTCAAGAGTGGGGGAAATGTAGGCTTTGGGTTTGAAATTCTAGACTTGACTGAGGTTTGCATAGGGTGAGTAACTGTTATAGGAGGTTTGGGATGTTCGTGGTCGATTTTATGAGACGGACGGTCTAGTTATTGGACCACCTAGGGAGGTTAAGAGAACTGGGAAAGGGACGGTCAACCTTTACCAGGGGAAGAGTCAAAGGGTCGACCGCCTGTAGGGGTTCAGAGGAGGTGGTCATTGTCGGTCGACCGTGCCATAGAGGACGTGCAATATCATCAAACGTATGTAGGGAAGTGGCATAAAGA